CAATCTCACCAGCCCCAATGAAGACCATGTCATTAAGCAATAGCACATTCTGAATCAATTGTTAGGTAAGCAAAAACTCATGGTTGCTGAGATAATTCACTACTGGTGCCCAAGATCAGAAACAGTGCAACTCAGTCACTGACAAGCCCAGCCACCCATAGAGTAGGTCCTTCACAACCCACTCCATTATGTCCCGATACAAGAGCATCCTAGATCGCGAAAGGTCACTGGACTGAGGAATGACCTTCAAGGTAGATTTACACTCTTTGAGGAATCTAGAAATAGGAGGTGTGATGGGAAGGTGTCAAGAACAATCTTCTCCCAGATTAAATCCTCTGTCAACGTACAATAACGGAAAGCCAAACTTGAAGTGCCACCCAAACCTCTCTGCTTGCAACCATCCCACAAGAAGGAGGAAAGCAAGCATTAGAGTGCTTTCTTATGGTTCTTGAAGAGTGGAAGTATAGACAACAATTAAAGGATAAAAAGAAATATGTACATGGCGCATACCTCAGCACTACCCTTCATGGACAACCACCTGCTGAGCCAAGTCTGGACCACCACTCCAACCTTTGCCTGTACTTTCTTCAGCTGGAAATCTGGCTAGATCTCCACTCCAAGAATGCAGATGATCTGTCAGTCCAATGAAAGGGCTTTAGAAGATCAACACCCATACAAGAACATAACTGCCAACTTGAAAGACTTGTGGTTAATCTTGGCACCTGTGACATTCTCATATCATTCAAGTACCTTCTGCAATATTGTTGCAGCGCGACATGAAAATGGATACATCATTGAGCTCCACCAGGGACAGCAATTCCATGTAGGGCTGGACTGCACATCCTGTCTCTTAGCCAGCAAAGGAGAGGCTCAAATGCCAAAACGTGAAGTAGTGGCAACAGCAAACAACTCTGACGAAACCAACAAATATGGCAAAAAAGTGCACAAGCACTTTCCATTCACTTGTACCATAGCACTGGCGGAGCAATGCAGCAGGCTGATCCACTTGCAGAGGTTGTTTTTGAATCTGATGACCTGCAGGACAGCATCCAGGTACTGATGGTCAACCCTGTTGAAGGCCTTGGAATAATCCAAATTGATTAATGCAGCTTGATTGTTGTCTTTTACAACCTCTAGGATTGTGTGAATCAGATGCAGGTTGCTCATGAATTGTTTGTCCCTTCACAGCATAAGTCTGCACAGGTCCCAACAGAATCTCAATAACTGATTACAAACACTTTCTGGATCTTGGACTAAATCTTTAACTCTGAGTTATGAGCTTGTAATTATCCCACCATCCATGTCCTTTTTCAACAACAAGATCACACCCTTGGAGATCTGATCGGGATGAACCCCAGCCAGAGGCAGTTGTTGAACATGACAGTCAAAATTGACACAAAAATGTGTGACAACCTGAAGTACAATTTCTAGGGCAGACCATCAAGTCCCAGAGACATGCCACTGCTGACCAACTTCAACGCCTAGTGAACTTTGCATTCTCATAGCCACTTCAGTCAGTGAAAACCAAGGAAAATTAGGAAAGTAACTATGAAATTCTTTGCCACAGAGACCAGGCTCCTTGGTAAACCAGTTCTTGAAATGCTGCCAAAACACCTCAGCGTACACCCCCTCCTGAGTATTGACCTCTCAAATGTAATGATCAGAACCTTGACAGATCTCTCCCTTGCCCAATTCTGTGCCTAAATTCACATCTTCGTTATCTTGTTTAATCTATGTCTAATTACCTGAGCCTGCTTGCACTTACCAGCTGCTTGCTCCAAAGCCTGCCTAAATAAACCTATCTCTAGTGACTCATCCTCAGCCTTCAACTGGGACAGACTATCCTTGAGAGTCTTTACCTTTTTAACCTTAACTAGGGTGAGTCATTGGCTATATTCAATGGTGAAAGAAGCCACTCCCACTACTTATTCCCAGTAACTGCCCATCCTAGTTCCTACTGCACAAATCTAGTTAGGTACTGCCAGAAATCCTGCCTGCACAGTAAAGACAGATTGAACTTCAAGTGCCCAGCCATCTTAGGCCTAGATCACAGCACCATCTGGGCACAAACAAGTCTGTGGTCCAAATAACTTAACCAGTAGAATGTGGGACAATCTAGTAAATCTAGATTGACCCTTTTCACTAACATTCTATCCAGGTAGCTAGCCACCTGGATAGACAGCCACTTAAAAGCCCACATCCACATCTCCCCCTTTTGGTGATCAACCCGGTATTTATTGATGATCAGGTAAACCAAGCTGCAATCATCTGACCTGCCCCCTGTCTATTTTGGGGTCCAAGAGGACATTCTAGTCCCTCATTAAGACTAATCATGATGACTCCACCAGGAACAGCTCCAATCAATGGAAAAAGGAGAATTGCTTCAACTGTTTACTGGGCACATAAAGTGTAAGGATCTGAAATGAACTACTGTTCAAGGCAAAGATATCAGCCATAATTAATCATCCCATTGCATCAACATAGAAAAGATCCACTTATACTCACACCCAGGGTACATTTAACCAGCAAGGTAACACCTCTTGGCCAGCTGGTATGCTGAATAGACAACAAACTGCCAGAGTTACTAGACAGTACATCTTGAACCCTGCCAATGTACATAGGGAATGCTCGTTTCATAAAAGTGTGTCTTCTGGCCTTGGCCTTCTTTACTTCAGTCATCTTTATGCTGAAGGACAAGAGATCACAAAGCAGGCAGGCCATTTTACTCTGATCCCTAAAGCCCCTTGCATTCAAACTGGCAAGCTTGATAGACATTTCCTAATTTGATTCCTTATAAGCAGACTGAATGGAAATATGTGGGGCAATCTCGTAAATCTAGATTGACCCTTTAACAAAGAAGATTGCAGTTGAGGAATATCCTCCATCTCCATACTGTAATCCCGCTGTACTGTCTGTTGCTGCTGTTCTTCCCATTTTTAACAAAGCAGTTGTCACTCCCTGCTGTTTCTGTTGTTTCTACCTCTGTGAGACATCCCGGGGAGTAAGAATCACAGCCTTTTGTCCCATCCTCACTATCTGCTTCCACTCACTGTGGCCATTGGAGGGTGGCCAGACTTAGTGACCCCATTGCTTCCTTAGATGTTGTTGGTTGCTGGGGTGGTGGCACTGGGTCCTTGCAGGGGTATGCTTTTGACAAGTGCCCTGTAGTCCCACAGTACCAGTAGTGGGGTTGACTGCCTTCCACAATTATCAGTATGTTTTGGCCGCATCATTTCAAAATGTCAGGAACATTGACACCTGTAGGAAGACATCCCAGGTAGCATACTTTGCTCATTGTTGTTATGACATCCCCGACTTGTCTATAATGTGCAAAAAAGGCCTCCAAATGGTCCTCTGATATGTTCAAGGTCAGCTCATGAAGCGTGATTTTCCTCTTCCAGGTGACCAAATACTCTATATGCAACCTCATTGATTTTGTCATGAGGATGCTTCCTGCTACTTCTTTGACGACAGTATCCAGCAGGATGTTCTATATGGCATTTGATCTTTGGGCAAACACTTTGGCAGTTATCAATTTTCTTGTTTTTTATATCTGTGGTCAGCAGAGAGATCATCCTGGTCGAGACAGCTTCCAAGGCAGAAGGAATTGTCAGCAGCTCATTTCCGGAGATATAATCCTCATAGATTTCTTTTTGGGTTTCATACTATTCCAGGCCATTCTTTGGTCTATCCACTGCCCATGCCAATGGAGTAGCAGGAGATGGTTGTTTGAGCCATTGCGGAAACACCACCATACTGGGGGAGCTCCCATTTCAGCACACATAAACTGTTCCATCAAAAATACAATAATACTGACACTAAAAAAAAAATTGAAGACAAACACATAAGACAGTACTGAGAGACAAATGCAAACAAAAATAGGTCACTTACTTTTCAAAAATAAGTATGGATGAGTCCCAAAAAATCTCTTTAGGAATGACTGCAAAATACTTGCCCTTCTTCAATTTATAGGCACACAAATGCATGCTGGGATTTTTTCCTAAGCAATAAAATTAGGCCATTTCTAGGTCTCATCTAACTTAGTTCTATTCAATTGGAATGATGTGATTGCTTGTCTGTAACCCTTTTTTGTGTGTTAACACCATTCTTACTTTGTGAACTTTTTTGCCTCATTACTGTTTCTTTGCCTTCCATACATTGTTTGCTTTATATTATTTTTGCCCTATTCTTTTATTTCTCTTGTTATTGTTTATTGCAAACTTTGTCTATTCTTTTTGTTGGACATTTCTGCCAATTACATTTGACTATGGCCAATTACTCTAGACACAAATTAAAAGCATTCAAAAATTTTTAATATAGAAAAAAGAAAATAATTTTATTCAACAAAGAAATAGTCATCTTTCAGAAAAAAAAACAAATCAAAAAGTCACATTTAACAACTGTTGTTGATTTCTTGTAAAAGGAAAATAAGGCAGCAAAAGAAATTAAGTTATTAAACTAAGATGAGGATATTAGTCAATATATATAATAGAATACAGCTACTCTAACTCTTAAACATTGAATATATTCAAATTTGTATCAGTCAGTTAAATGCCACATGATATACACTTTGGTGATCATGTATCTTTTACTACATGACTGATGAGGCAGAAGATTTTTTTTCTATGATAGGTTGCCATTTCTTTTTACAGTAGACTGTCTGCCAACCAAGGCTAAAGAACCCAGTCTGTCCTGCTATTCAACCCATAACTGGGAAGAAAAGAGATGGAGATACCTTTCCCAAGGGTATTTGTGCATAAGTGAATATAACAAACTCTACTGTGATTCGAACTCAGCTACCCGAGTTCTCATTCCAAGCCTATATCCATTACACCACAATGCACATCCACATGGTTTTTACCCTTGAAAACTTTATAACAAACCTTTATTTAAAAAAACTATACTATCAGGTATCAAATCATAATGTTTGTTGATCATTTCTTTAAAATGAACCCTTTAATTTTCTTTTTCCCTATTTTATATAATTTTATATGTTTCAGTTTCAATCCCTGATTATTGGACTCCAATGGAAAATGAAGATTACATAAAAGTTGCATTGACATCTGGTGATGAATATGATAGTGTGAAAAATGTTTTTCCAGGAAATTTTCAAATCGTCACGGTAAGAGTTGACATTATCAGATCACCAACTATAATAATTGATGGTTTTATCTAAAATACAGCAACATCTTTGCTTTAGGTTACTAGATTAACTTAGATGTGGGATCAAATATTCTACTTCTACTTCCATTCTGTTTCCAGAACCTGAAATCCACATATGTTTAATCTATCTCTTTAATGTCATTTTGTTAGCAACATCCTGATCCAAATGGCCAGTTCATTATGGTACCTAATTAATTTTAGCAATTAAACATGCAATACTTCAAGTTATCTTTTATTGGTCTTTGTATCACTGGTCAACCTTTTTTTTAGAACTCTGCAATACTACATCTGTTATTTGTATTATTTAACTCAACCTTTTCATGCACAATTTGCATACAAGTTTATGTAATTTATGTCACTGCAGCTCCAGTCAACATTTATCTTGGGACTTCATATTGTCATGGTTCTGTGGTCTGAAAACAAAACTGAACACAAGCAGAAAAGACATAACTTTTAATATTAAATTTATTTTGGAAAATTAAAGCAATTTCCTCATCAGAGTATAGGTTAATAGAGGTTTGATCTAACTGTAGTTTACAGTTTTATTAATGCTGAATTAGAACTCTGCAATACTACATCTGTTATTTGTATTATTTAACATGCAATTTACCAATGTAAAAAAAAAATTTTTGTATACTCATTATGGCTAAAAAGAAAAAAGTAATAAATCCAAATTAACACCACAGGCGATAGGAAAACTGTCCATTGTTTAATAAAAAAAAAAGAAAATACATCAAAGTTGTACTTGGGAGATGAGAAAAAAGCATTTGATAAGTTATGACACAAATATTTGAACTACTATGAAAATTTGATTTATTTGGAAAAAATATATTAGAATAATCCAGAACTTGAAACAAACCATTTACATATGAATACAAAATGAATTCAGTAAATAGACAAAAATAGAAAGGAGCCTAGGACAATGATGCGTTTTGCACTAGATTCCCTATAACAAGGCTATCCTAAAGAAGTTGAAGATCTTACCAAGATTTATTGTTGGCAGCCACAATCTTACCAAGTTAAGATATGCAGATGATACAGTGTTGATAGCAGAAACAGAAAGGAAACTACAGTAACTTCTAGAGAAGGTAGTAAAGGAAAGATTCTTTTCACTCAGATAATGTGGGACCCAAACATCATAACGATTTGAGTACTCAAGCTTCACTTGATGGTGGAATTTAGTGTTTCTGCTAGTTCCCACATTGTGTAATGCAGGTTATTCTCAATCAATATCTTGATTTGGTTGTCATCTGTAGTGAGTGGCCTTCATCAATTAGGCTACAATTAACAACTCTAAACTTAGTGAACCACTTCTCTACAGTTCTGTCAGCTTAAACACATTCACCATACATAGAACATTTTGTTACTTTTAAGACATTTTTCCTTTATGATAAATAAAGCATCGTGTCTAAAATGCACCTTATAATCTTCCATTTTCATAAGAATGCAAAATTGACATGAAATAAGTTATTTTAAACTTTCTTTCTCAAGAGATAGTTTGAAGTCTGTTCTAATCAGATATGTAAGCATAGTATATCTGTTGATAAATTTAATGTGTTTTAAAATGTTGGAACATGAACGACAAAAATTGACATGAACTTTCTGGACAATACAATCTCTGAGAAGTATTTTAACAGAGCAGAATATGTGACACCATAATCTGAAGGCACATTGTAATTTTAGAAAAACAAAAGTTAAAATGCTGAACTGTTATAGCAGTGAATGTTGGACAGGTTCCACACAGATGAAGAAGAACACAGGTTAGAGTGTGACTAAGAGAGCAAAATAGTAATATTATATATCTCCTTCCTCTTCTTTGTTTTCATATTAAACAAAGAAGTATATGAAAACTGATTCCTCAACAATAATTTTTAGCAATAAATGTAGAGCTACATTGAATGGTCCTAGTGGCTAGGCTAGACATTGTGTCCTCCATTGAAATAATCAACCAACATAACTTAGAAAACAGCAGGTAGAGGTGTAGCAATGCTTTGGCCTCTTATCGTAAGCAGTAAAACTATGGATCTCTTCAAAAATGAAGGATTCATTCAAGATAAATGCAAAGAATTATTGTAAACTTTTGGGCAAAATATTTGAGTGTTATAGGTCATAACTTCTTCATTCTTATGTTAACTAGAAAGCATTTCAATCATACATGAACAAAGCCAGGGTCCTCTAGAAATTAAAAGAAGATTCTATCAACATTGTCAGTGTTTTGAAGAGTATTCAGTGCTATTCACAAATCACTTAATACATCTACTAATGTAACAAAGTTTACTAGTGTTGTTAATTCTTCATGTTGACCTTTTATAGTGTCATTCTTCAGATTTATGAATCAGTCCATGCAAATCACTAAACCATTACAATGTGTTTTTAGTTTGGTTTAGTTCATTCATTTTCTATAGTTTATCAATCCTTTGCAAGTTATTTAAAAAGCCAGAAAATATTTTTAGTCTTAATAATTAATTGATAGCTGGGGGAAGAAAAGTTGAATTCATACTTTTCCCAAAGGTATTTGCACATAAAGGAATATAACAAACTTGACTGGAATTGGAACTCAGCTTTCCAATTAACAATTCTAAGTCATTATTCATTACAGTACCTGGTATTCCCAAGTGGTCACCCATCTAAGTATTGATCAGATGCAATGTAACTTAACTTCATTGATTCTATGGAAACCAGTGTTTCTACATAATGTAGCATTAGCCTTGTAGTTTTTGTAGCTATTATAAACTTGTAAAAGATAATTTTCATTTCATATCACATCTAATCTTGTTTATTTTCATATTTATCTTTTAGATTGAAAGAATACAGAACAAAAGTTTGTACATTCAATACCAAGCTCAGCTGGAAAAAATGAACAGTACAAATCCCCAAGGAACAAAAAATGAAACTCAAGGATTGTGGCATGGTACCAGTAAAGATGTCACTGAAAAAATTAACAAAAACGGTTTTAATCGAAGTTACTGTGGGAAAAATGGTGAGTTTTATTATTCATTTTCAAAAGAAAATGGTAACATACCTTGACTCACATACTGTTTTTGCTACATATATATATATATATATAAAAGGTCAGCTAAAAAATTCATTGGCTGACCAAGATACTTTGATGGAATATGACCAAATGAGGTTTATTAATATATGACCAAATGAGGCAAACATTTGAAGCATCAGTGTGTTGACAGACATTGGATTAAATTGCATCTATGAGAAACTGAAGTGTGCTGAAAAAAATATCTTCACCCTTAAGTTGTGAGTACAGATATTTGCAGTAATGAAGCCTAGAGATGTGGTTAGTAACAGGCACAAAAGAGAGAACAAAATATGTAAATATATGTGCATGGAAACAAAAGAGTTCCTATAGAGAAAAAAAGTGTAGAATTTCAACATTTTGATTATGTCATTGTTTTCACTTTAAGTCATCTCCCTTTACTTTATATTCCAATAGTAAGGAGTAAGTTCCATTTGGGCATCTTCTTCCCAAGAAATGTTGCTTTGTGGAACTTACTTGCAGCAGAATGTTTTCCCAATCATTACAATCTTGACCTCTTCAAGTCTAGAGTTAACCATTATTATTTCCACTTAGCCCCATGAACTTCTTGCCTTTCTCTACTTTCAAAGGCTTTTGGGCCTTCTATTGGGTGAACATTAGCATACAAAATACATGTGATATCCATTTTAGTTGTTGCTGCTGCTGAAAGTCCTTAAATATATACAAGTCTATCACTAAAATCATTATTAGTCTGAAGAATCATTTCCAAGGACAAAACACCTAACAAATGTATTTTTTTATCATTTTGTCATTCAGTTACTTGCATAAATTAATGTACAAATTATCAAAGATTTCCTAATATGTTGGCATGTTGTTTGCCAATGAAACCAGTTTATTTGCTAAAATTGTATGATATACAAAGTCATTATATTGTTCTTCTTTTGCATACACACACACACACACACATTATAATGTAATATGTAAATTGATAACCATTACTACATTAAATATAATATTTACTTCTTTTCCTTTTTTTTTTTTTTACAGCTACAGCATATGGTGGAGGAGTCTATTTTGCAGTGAACCCCCAATACTCTTTGAGTGACACCTATTCACCTCCAGATAGCAATGGGCACAAACATATATATATGTGCAATGTGCTCACAGGCATGTTCTGCCGTGGGGATTCTAGTATGAGAGTTCCTCCAGATAACCCCGCAGTTCAAGGAGTACCATATAATTCTTCTGTTGATGACATCAAAAGTCCAAAGATTTATGTTAGTTTTCATGATGCAAATGTTTACCCTGCTTACCTCATCACTTGTAAATGAGCCAGATTTATTGCTTCCTGTCAAAATAATTACAAGACATCAGAATTAAAATTCCATTTTAAATTTCATGGTTCATAAATTTATCTGCTTTCTTAGACAACCAATTCTTATGTTCAGGAAAACAACTTTGATTGCAAATTCAGAAGCTGATTGAAATTTGACTCTTCTTCATCATCAACTCCACACATCTTTAAGTTTCCAGGATGACTATTAAACAATGACAATTATTTTCTCTGTTGTATTTCAATTTTATCTCTCATTTCAATAGCATCACTATGTTGTGGAAGTATGACTTCAAAAGTAACAGTAGTTTTGAGTCATTCTTGTCAAATTTTTCTGCTGATTTCTTCCAATTTCTAAAACCTACTTTTCTTAATGTTTCTTCTTTTCTGCTTTCTTTTTCTTTCTTAAGATGATTAAGCCACACTGATAGAAGAGTTGTTTAATATTTTATCAACTTTGTGTACAATTACTTTTTTTTTTAATTATTTTTCTTTATTGGATTAGATTTATGATTTAAATGTTTTCAGACTATGTTGCATCCAAAATAATGTATAATATATGAAAAGATATATGTTGACAAAGAACAAGTTTTTTATTATTTTTTTCTAAAGTGAGCTGTTTTCAGAATGCTAGAAAGATTATACTGCAAATGGGAGAAGACTTATACACCTTAAAAGTAGGCATTCAAAATTTTTGTGCAAGATAATGAAACTAAGCACAGAACGTGTCTCAATCTTTCAAATAAAATTGTAGAAATCTTTGGAAATTATTCATTATATTTTTAAAATATTAAACTCAGATACTAATTTTTAAAAATTAAATGGAATTTGCTGGAAACATGTATATTTTTATTTTTATACTTGATTATCTGACTTATGTGCTATCCTAAAATATCATGAAAAATATGTATTCATTGATTCTATGAAAATAAGTTCACTTAAAATTTATACTTTTTTAAAAATAAAATTGGAAATTGTTAGAAATGTGGGTTTTTTATAGGGGTGGGTTTATTTATACTTAATTATCTGCTTATCCTAAAATATGAAAAATATATATTCCTTGATTTTATGAAAATAATTTCACTTAAAATTTATACTTTTTCAAAAAACAAAAATGATTGTACTTCATACTTTGTACAAGCCTTTTATTCAAAATGTTATTGCAGGTATATTTTATGTAAAAAAAGAATGCTAATATTTCTAATAAATAATGCTGTTTCTCAACTTTTAAATTGTGTTTTATCTAAAATTGTTTCATTATCAGTGCTTTTAAAGGTGAAAAATCTAATTTGGGATATTTTTTCTGAATTATTCCTGCTTTCTGACAAGGAAAAATGAATGAAGCAACATACTATTAGAACTGCAAAAAATTGCTGGTTAGCTAAGATAGCTAGCTAATCTCTATTGCAGACACCTACCCAAGCACATTTTTGTAAGTTAACCTATGCTTTATAGTGCAACTATACTGAGTGGATCAGGACACCAGAAGTTAGAATCAAAATAAAATGCAGGATTACTGCATTAGTGGCTGATTGCCGCTTAAAAGCTTGCCATTATATAATCTTCCATTTTCGTTAATCTGGCCTTGTAATATACAAAGCTATGTTTAGTTAATATCTTTTTTTCTTTCCTCTATGAACATATTTAAGAAAATATGTTGTATTCGCTATATGAATGTGAACCAGATTATAGTTGTTTCATAGTTACAACATTGGTATGGCTTACCTATCATCTAGACACCACGTAGCCTGAACCAACAAGAACCGAGGTTTGATAGCATGACTATCTTCTTATTCATAAGAGACATCACTTACTTAGAATATTGTCTGCAGTGACTGCCTCTTAGTTGCTGTTCTTCACGGGTCCACCCTGACCCAGGGTGGTAGCACCTGTTAGGGTCCCAGCTATGGGTAAATAGTTTGCCCACCTCCCTTGATCTGGAGTCAGTATACTCGGAAAGTGTAAGAATTGTTTTTTTGTAATATTAATACCATCAATACAAATTGCAGTATATAAAGTGTACATTCATAAAATACAATTTCAAAAAACTAAAATTTCTCCTAAATGGGGCCAGCCGTTTGCCGTGGGTGGTGACCTGTGATGCCTGCGGATGGAGTCCTGGTGACTGAGTGACTCCTGATCTGATATAAAATGACCAGGAGTTTCCACAACATGTCACTTCGGCCCCTACCTAGGATTGACGGGCAGATGGAATAGCCCAATCCATTCCAATTGGCTAGTCACATAGTGGCAAGGGCTAGTTGGGATGATAGATAATGTGTCAGACAGGGCCATGAAACCTTACATCATACTATACTTGGGTAGATATGGTGGGAGAGTGCAAGTCATCGTATCCACTCTCATCACAACTATACTCTCTGTGTAGCCTTGGCGGATTAGGGCGAATGGAATTAGTCCCCCCTGATAGCTTCCCTTAAGAAGGAACTCCAAGGTGGGTGGGGAGTACAGACAGTGAATGAATGCAAAAGAGACAATTAAAATAAAATGAAATAGCAATTTCCAACTTTCATTGTTGTATAAGTTGCAAAGGGTTATTTCACAAACCACAATCTGTTAAAAATAAAAGAAAAATAATACATTCAGTCACCCCAACAGCAAAAAGCTATGTGAGACAATGATATTTATTAAAATTTTACAAGAACTTCCTAATTCATGAGACTTAGAAAGCATTGAACATGAAATAGAAAAAATACAGTCAATTTAAGGAAAGTTCTGACAACCATCTTTAAGCATTGTTGTAGAATCAGTAGAGAGTTTATATATCAAAAGTATGTCTTTTTTCATGCTTGCAAATGGGTTAAATCACAATGAATATTGATCAAACCATAATCTGTTTTGAAACCTACCTGCCTTTCTAAATGACAAACTTCCTGCATTAGAAGGTGTTTCCACCAGTGAAGTTGTTGCAGATAACCTAAATGCTATGCATGCTGCCAGGAAACAATTCATAGCATGTGAGTCCTCAGAGAAACTAAGACGTGCACTTCGTCACCAAGTTAGAACAAGTATAGCACAAGCCTACAAAAAAGTGATGCCGTCCTTTATAAAAAGAAACCTGTGTGATAGATGGCTTGGTCCAGGAACTGTTATAGGGTGGGAACATAAGCAGGTGCTTGTCAAACATGGTGGCACATATGTAAGGGTACATCCATCTCGCTTAACACCCTACCCTGAGACATATCGAAGCTCTTCCAAGGACAGCATCAAGGAATCTAGTGCCTCACAGAAAAGGCTTGAAGAATCTCCAGAAGTACCAATTTCTGAAGAGTTTGATATGAACGAAGATTTGGGAACCACAAATAACAATGTCGAGCAACATCGGACTGTAGAAACAAGAGATAGACGACATAAGCAGGACTTTACTCCAAAGAAAATTGAGCTTCCTAAACCAGGACAAACTATTAAATGCAAGCTTGCCAATGACACAGATCCAGAATGGAAAAAATTAAATGTCATAAGTAGGGCAGGCAAAGCAACAGGCAAAAACAAGCATTTGATGAATGTGGTTATGGAACAGGGTGAACCTTTTTGGCTGGACTTTGAGCATGGGGTATCAGAGTGGCAAACAAGTGTGGTTGAGGAAACTGAACTTGAACACACTTCTTGTGACGAGGAAAATATAATGATTTCCTCCCCTAATGATGACCTGGAACTGGAAGAGGCAAGAAAGAAAGAGCTCCAAAGCTGGGTTGAAAATAAAGTGTACACCCAAGTACCTGACCAAGGTCAACCAAAAATTTCCACAAGATGGATTTACACAAATAAAAATTCCAATGGCAAGCAAACCTATAAAGCCAGACTTGTGGCAAGAGGCTTCCAAGATAGAGACACTAACAACATAAGGAATGATTCTCCCACATGCTCTAAAGAAGGTTTACGCATAGCACTGGCAATAATGGCAGCTAACCAGTGGATGTGTAAATCAATGGACATAAAGACCGCATTCCTGCAGAGCAAGCAGTTGGATCGACTGGTTTATCTGGATCCTCCTAAAAAACCAATGTACCTCAGGGCCATATCTGGAAACTCTCAAAATGTGTGTATGGCTTGACTGATGCTTCTAGGTCCTGGTACTTAACACTAAAGGAAGAATTAATGAAGTCAGGAGCAATAGCTTCAAAATATGATCAAGCAATATTTACATGGCATTTTGGAAACAAACTGCAAGGTATAATTGCTGCTCATGTTGATGATTTTTGCTTTTCAGGGTCAGAGATCTTTCGAAGCAGAGTTATAGACAGACTTCGTCATGTATTTGCAGTTAAAACCGAAGAAACTGCTGAGTTCCAATACATAGGATTAGATATAAAAAAGAATAATGAGAATATCAAACTTGGACAAAACGAGTATGTAAAGAAATTAAAATATATTCCGGTAGAAGCAGGCAGGAACCTTAAAGACACAATTTCCACAACAGAAATTACTGAAATCAGGCAAGTTATTGGTCATCTTAACTGGCTGGCCACCCAAACCAGACCTGATCTAAGTTATGATGTTAGTGCATTAAGCTCCATTCTAAAACAACAAAATGTAGAATGTATAAAACAAGCCAATAGAGTAGTTAAGAAAGCAAAAAAGGAAAAATCCCAGATAGACATCCCTGACTTAGGAAACCTTAAGCATTTAAAAATTGTCGCATATAGTGATGCTTCTTTCGCTAATTTGACAGATGGAGGATCACAAGGAGGCTACATACTCTTTTTGGTAGGAAATAATAATAAATACATGCCCATTGCATGGCAATCCAAACGCATTAGAAGGGTGGTCAAAAGCACACTGGCTGCTGAAACTCTAGCCATGGTTGACATGTCAGAAGCCTGCCTGTTTTACAGAAAACTATTATTGGAACTACTGCAGCTAAAAGATGAAACTGAGAACATTAAGATCATATGCAAAACTGACAATTCCTGTCTCTATGACTCAGTACATTCATCAACACAGATTTTGGATAAGAGACTTCGCATTGAGATGGCCATT